GGGTTTACCTCCCTTTGTTATTCACCCTTTGTGTGAATAATCGTCGGTTTTGAACAGCGCCCCAATCGACATATGGTACCAGCCCCTCCCCTCTCCCCCCCCCCCTGCTTTTTGATTTTACGGAGGCCAAGTGTCCGGAGGAAAAAAACCTGTCCACATTTTACCACGGATGTGCAAGTGCCCTTTTCGAAAAATTTTACCCCCTCCCCCAATAAAAATGACCGTGCTACGCCACTGTGTGGGATATCCAAATACATAAGGTGACAGGCCGTTATCGAATTGCTGGCTCTATCTCATAATTTGCGAACACAGGAGTGTTCAATATACAGCTTGTAAAGAGCGCCCTCACTGTGGACAGGTTTTGATTACCCATGCTTTTCACAACGGAACAAATACCTATCCGCTGTGAACGAACGTGTCTGAGCTGGTATAGTGCCCTCTCGTGACAATGATTCTAGAAAATTCCATCGTGATTCTTGTTCTGTTCATGTGTTCCAAAAAGTCCGATATTGTCGCAATTTCGTCTTTTATTCAATCTTAAAAACCCATGTTTGTCAGATCCTAGAATTTAACTGCCAGGGGCGGATCCAGGATTTTTTGCAAGGAGGGGGGGGGGGGGGGGTTGTTTTATTAGCAACAAAATCTGAAATGTAGACACGTTTTTTTCCTCCGAACACTTGGCCTCCTTAAAATGAACAACTGGGGCGGGGGGGGGGGGGGGGATGGTACCATATATCAATAGGGGGCGCTGTTCAAATGCAACGATTATTAACACTAGATTACGGAATGGTGTACAAATACCCATATCTAAGCTGCCTCTGTCCGTATTTTTAACAGGCGCACATTATATGTACCAGTATCATTATTTTTGGGAGCGTCAGAGCAGTATGGTTGGGTGGCATTATTTTTTAAGGAATTTCTATGAAAAAAAAAAGTTTTTTGACAGAGATTTTTTTTTAACCACCCCCCCCCGGATCCGCGCCTGTATGCAACTCAACGTTTTTCATGGCTATTGCGACTTAATATGTCCACTTTGGCCCATATTCTAGATGTGGGGCGCCTTAGGTAACACATTTAGCGTATTTAATACAACATCCCTTCCGCCATGGAGACAATCTATGCACATATAAAAGTGGAATTTAAAAACTTTTAAACTGCCTGCCTGCTACACTGGGTGCGTGGAGCTTAGAGAATTATCTCAGCAAGCAGCAGGCAGGTGACCGTTAGGTCATGGCCAAATTCTGCTAAACGAACTTCAAAAATCTGTCAGATTTATCAAAAATCTGCCAAATTCGCAAGAATTACTCGAAATACACTATAAACACTTAAAATCATTTGCAAATGTTGTTGTATTGCCTTAACCAAGGTTCAAATTACATTATCAACGATCTATAGTCACAAATAGATGCTATTCAATTGCGTAAATTTCAGGCAAAACGCGGTTGCGTCACTACAAACTCCGGTTCCCAGTAAACCTCAGCACCTAGACCAGCCAACCTGTCCCATTATTCAGGGGTTCGTTTGAAAAGATTAAAGCTTTTTAAAACAACTGTACTTTTTTTTCAAATTGTGCTGTTTTTCTGTCAAATAATCATTTTTGCAGAATTCTGCCAGAAATCTGCCAAAAAAATCCGTTCTGTCAAATTTTCCGTCAAACTCGTTTTTAGCAAAACAATCTATCAATGTTAGTCGAAAATCGGCTAAAACGGTCACCTTGACAAGAAGGCTGAAACTCAACACCGTGTAATTTGAGAAGAACAAGGAAGCATCAAGCTGGAACGTCAGGACCATTGTGTCCTGGACTCGATGACAACCCCCAAAGGTTGACGGTGCTCGCAAAATGGCTGACACGGGGAAAGAGAAAAACAATATTTTGTCTCAATCTTCTGTCTTGTTTGTCTACTTTTCATGACCAATCATCTGGCCACAATTCAAATCAATGCGTCTCTTAATTTTTGAGATGTCGTTTCCAGCTGGACTATCGTTTCTGTGCAAAAGTGAGGCAAATTTTCGGTTTGTACTGCGACTGCAGCCCATCGCCAAGTTTTTCTCCGTGTTGCGACACAATACACTGTTGGGGGAGAGAAATACGATATTTCATCTCAATCGTTCTTCTTGTTTGTCTACTTTCCACGACCAATCATTTGGCCACAATTCAATTTAATGCATCACTTAATTTTTGAGCTGTCCAGCTAGACCTTGTCATCACAAGGCGTGCGGATCTCAGAATTGTCCTCACCTGCAAGTACCACAGCGCAGACTGCGACACAGTATTCACACCGGAAATTGCATGGGTTGCAATATGCTGTGGGTGATGCTCTGGTTTATTTTAGGGATATTGCATCTTTTGTTCCAAACTTTTCTGGAATTTGTGGTCACATTTTGAGTTGCTATTTCTTTCCTCGGGATTTCTCGATTGAGAAAGTTGCACACGAGTCTTCGATTGTCATTGTCTGGTCATCGTTTTCGTTGCTGCACCTCTTTCGAGATGACATAGCAGTCGGCAACTGAACGGGTCTTAGACAATCATTTCCTCCGAGAAGATAGATACGAGGCATCAAACTTAGCGGAGTTGGGTTGGATTGCTCGGAGGAGTTTTAATAGCCTACTGACAAAAGCAAAATTGCCGTGTCCAATTAAATGAGCTGACATTAACTTGAAATGATTGACAGGTTAGCGGCACCGCCAAGGCTAGAAATGTAATACATTTTCTTCCAACACCTATCGGTTACTTCTCCAAAGAGAGAGTGCCGAAAACAGAAGAAAACCGACTGTAATTGATATACTTGATGAAAAAGAAATAGGCTACTGGCTTTAACGGAAATGAAATCAACGCCCAGGAATCACACTCGACTGCTACGGTCCTGTTGGCGAAATGCCTACTAGTCATGGCCCAAGACGCTATAGTGATCGATATTGGATCGTGCATGGCACAACATGGCCTACAGACTCTCACTAACGTCTTGACCATTTCGTTTCAGCGGTTTAACCTTTTCCTTACTTTCTCCATAGGCTTTCCTTGGGAACCAATCAGCGATCGAGAAAATGATGGATTGCCCGACAGTTGTATACGTGATCAAGCATCATCGCTTTCCTAGGAAACCAATCAGCGATCGAGAAAAGGTTCAATGGCTCACCCGTTGGTTGTAAACATACATGCAAGAGCAAGAGTTATCAAGCAAGAGCTATAAAAATGAACTGTGTTTGTTCGAATTTTTACAGACGGTCTTACTTACATAAATGGCCCCATTGCTACGAAATTACCAAGACGTTACAGCGGATTCCGGCCCCCCCCCCCAAAAAAATCTCGGCCGTCGAGTGACGAAAAATTTTGAAACTCAGCACAAGCATAAAGCAACTCTTCTTAAACATACCCAAGAAATTTCATGACTATAGGTCAAAGGGTTTTGGAATTATGGCTAATTATTTATCTATATGTACGAATGGCAATTCTGCTCTGTGTACACGACGTATATGCGAAAATTCAGTTTTCACGGGACCATGGACCGATTTTTATGTTTTTGGTATCAAAAGATGCGCAAAGCTCGAGGCTAAAAAGTCATAACAGCTCGGGTCGCGAAATATTTTTTGAGGCTATCACGGAAAATGTTGAGGGGGGCGGCGGATTCCGCCCCGGCCCCTTTAGGGTTAAAAAAAGGCATCAAATAAGTTTCGGAATCTGTTCCCCTATGTACCTGTTTTATCGTTAGGCTATTGACAAAGGCAAAATTGCAATGTCTAATGAAATGAGCTGGCATTCGCATGAAACGATTGACAGGTTAGCGGCACCGTCAAGGCTAGAAATGTAATACATTTTCTGCCGACACCTATCGGTTGCTTTTCCAAAGTGATCAGGCCAAAAACAGAAAGAAAGCCAACAGTAATGCGCCGATCGCTGAGGCGGGTTTAGCGACACTAGAATTTGATACGACATTCGACACACAGTGACCATCTGGTGAATCTATTGGCAAACGCGGCCAGTACCCGTTCCATGGAAAAAAAAACAATGCCACTCTTTCTGATTCAGCCTTACGCCGCTACGGCCGTGGTTATCATGGCACTATGAAATCGATCTGAAAAAGGAAAAGGCCCCGTCAAATTCCGTACTGAAGTCTACTGACAATAGCTCTATTGTGTGTAGAAAGTAAGCACCAGATATGCGCTTAAAAAGTAGATCATGTCTTCCACATATAAACCTACATTTTGTGGTGTCAACAAGTTCAACTTTCTAACTTTTGGGATGATCGGGTAAAACCCACGTGTTGGATAGAATAAAAACTTAAATAACGTTTGTAGAATCAAGACAGTGTTAATTAAAGGGAAAATACAACATTTGCAAACATCGAAAAATAAAACTACCAAGTTGTTACGAAATACCTTACTAGGATGTTGGTAAATGACATGCTAAAGCATCCTGTAAAATTATGGCACCTGGTGTGAAGCCATTTTCAAGAAAATGGTATATTTGTATACATTTCCAACGCTGGTCGGCCGACCACCGTTGGAAAAACCTAACTATTTTTCAATTACTGCTCCAAATTTACCATTTTTTTTAGTCTAAATTTTGTTTTGTTAGCTATCGGTTCCATGTTCATGAATGGGTGCAGGCCAGCTAGACTGGTTCCCTTACCTTTACTATTTTCCGGTATTTTTGATCCATTTCATCTTTAGTGGAGTCAGGGAACCAGACTACTTGAATATTTTTGTTTTTCTTGGTTTTTCCAGCATTTTCGAACACAAAACGTCAAACATGTCAGTGCAACAATATTTGATCTATTATACCAACCCCCCAAATAGTTCATTTCTGAAAATTACAGCAAAAGCCAATGATGGACATTCCCTTTAAGAATCAAATACATTTCTTTTGTTTTGCACACCCCTGTTTAAAGAGTGGCAGAGGCACAGAGACTATCGTCCGCACTCGGTTCACAGACCCCCCCCCCCCGACTTGAACCAAAATACTATAAAAGAAATGTACTCGGCGCAGTAGTGGCGCATTCGTTCAGTAGACATCAAGTTGCAAACAGCAAGTGCATTTTCGCCTCCGTACTTCGTTTCAAGCTGAAATGTAAGATCTGGATAAACGTGGCCAAAGTCAAAACAGCTTGGTTATCATATTGTTCATGATTGACGATATAAACTCTCTCGGGTGTACGTTGATATGACTGCCATGTATATATATAAAACGACATTGATGTACGCATTATGTTACTTTTACCGCTGCGGCTGAGCACACTTCATAAAAAGCACAATACCGTGCAACAGCCGAATTAATCCGAATAAAAAAACAAAGGAAATACATTTTTTTTGCAAAAGACTGCACTGATTGATGCACGTCTAACATGGCGGCACAACCATAATAACAGGACGTTTCTTACCGTGTGTTTCATTGTCTCCCTCGTTTTCAGTATCATAGCAAGAATGAAGCTCTACATGTGCCTGGTTCTCTTGATGTTCGTTGGATGTACCTGGGGTTTCGCACTGAGGGACGGTAAGTTAGTTGCTTCAAAAGTTCCGTCGTAATCTAAACGGCTTTCCATGACATCTGTAAGCCTATTCTAACAAGTGCGAGTGCACATTCAGCTCTGGCCGTGTTGAAAGGAGTGTTGCATGAGAGTCTAGCATGAAATCGATCAAAAGCCAGAGCTTAAAATGCGACCCCGAAAAATGCGACATCGATGGCATATATTAAACACCATACTTTGGTTATTTTTGGGATAGACAGACAGGCAGCTCGACCGACAGACAGACAGACAGACAGACCATCCTGCCAGAGCTTAAAAACAACATTCACACTTCCCCATGGGAATATATATTATTATTCGATTTGATGATATTCTACACACATTAATAGGAATGCTTTCATTGTAGGGGAAAGAACACCCACTGTCAACATTTGTTTTTCAAATCCCTCTGCTTAATTTCAGATGATGTTCTATCTTAGTTAAATTTAGAAAAATAGAAGTTAGGTTTCTTAACGATCAGTTGCTTATGCACCGTCTTTAAAAGGGGTCGTTTTATGCACACCAGAAATAATAATAAGATGATCACTTTTGGCTGTTGTGGAATTTCTTCCGAAAACTTACGAAACTTGTATGTTATGAAGCTTATTTAGTAAAAAAAAAAAGGGTTTTTGTTCGGTTTATTTTCAAATCTTTAAAGTTGCATTTCGGCCTGGAATGCGCCCAATTGGGCTACAAAACCGTTTTAACGAAATTATATTAATTGGAAAGAGCATTTGAAAGTGGGATATGCACATCCACATAACCATCTTGCGAGAACCATGCGAGAACGAATTTCGGGGGTTATAACTGTAACTAGCACTAAACAGCTCGACTTAAGGGAGTTCCTGCCGCACAGTTGCTCGCATGCTGCGGATGTGTGAGAAACAACGTGCATGTGTTGGTGATGTGTATTATGTGACACACAACGTGGTAGTACTTTGAAGAGACGCGTCTTGAAATACGTATGCGTATGCCACAAACTGTCCGCCGCGTCCGATGTAAACAACCGTGTGTTTTTTCGTCTTTTCTCGGAACGGTAAGACATTCGGTTAGTTTCCTTTCAACCAGACCTTTGATATAGGATAGTAAACAATCCAAAACATCATGAAAATTTGGGGGATTTCAGGCCGTATTGTTAGGGCTTTGTAACCAAAACAGTTTTATTTCAACCTTTATTTTCTTAATTCCGTGTCTACGAATTGAAGATTATGTCGTTGTTATCTTTAAGTACACTTCATGAAATATAAGTAAAAACCGTTTTAAATTCTTGCAGACTTTGATCCTGAGGAGAAAGAGAGAACAGTGTCAGCTCGTGAGATTGTTGAGCGGAGTAAGTTCAGTGGTATTAATAGTATATAGTAGCACATGTTGACATTACGACATAAAAGAAGTGAATATGTAATGCTTGGGAAATATTGGAAAGACGTGTTTCAGTTTAATACCAGTGTTGTAGTACTCGTACTCAATACTTGTACTCGAGTACTACTCGATTTTTTTTATTTTTTTTAGAGTACACGTACTCGTACTCGTACTCGTACTCGAATGTAAAAGTACTAATACTCGAAATGACGGGACTCGTACTCGGGCAGCAAGAACTGGTACTGGACATGTCAAAGTTGTACTCGATTATTTAAGTACGTACTCGTGCTTGAAAAAGTGTATAGCTTGAAGGCCTTATTTTATCGATACTTTCAGTTTGAAATGGTTGATTGGCTCGAAGTTTCCCGATTTTCCTCTGTGCATGCCTGTACAAACGCCTTTAACAGCTAGCTGTGAGTGGCCTGGGTAAATTAGACCTGTGTAAATTATACGCACAGTGAACCATTTGCCGTGTGGCCGCGTATTCGTACTCGGAATACAAGTACTCGTACTCGTACTCGGAAGTACAAATACTCGTACTCGGAGACCTGTTCTTGAACTCGGAAGTATTAGTACTCGTACTCGTACTCCGTAACCTAAGTACTCGGCAGTACTCGGTACTCGGCTAAAAGTACTCGACTACAATACTGTTAAGTACTGTCCCGGGAAAAGCTGTTTGTTTTCCTTGCAAATGTCAATGAAGTTTTGTTTGTTTTTGTAAATAAGCTTTCACATTCGTGCAGTTTTCTAATAACTTAAAGAGGTTTTTTCTGTATTGATGCATTATATTTCGATGTTGTGCACACAGTATTTCACTTTTGGTTATTCTTTCTGCGAAATGCATTTAAGACAACATATTCATGCATAGGTTTAACTTTCCCATCTACTTTTAATGAAATTTCTAAAAGAAATATCGAAGCACATGTTTTAAAAAAATTACACAATCAATTGTATGTGCCACGTTATAAAAACTGCTTGTTCGTTGGAGAATTAAATGTATTAATTTAAACAAGATTGAAAAGGCTGGTTATTAACCCTAAAGGGGCCGGGTTATTTTGACCATCTCTCGGGGGGGGGGGGGCGGATTCCGGCCCCCCCCCTAAGATCTCGGCCATCGAGTGACGAAAAATTTGAAACTCGGCACATGTAGAAAATTTTTCGCTACGCGGCAACCCGTAGTCCGATTTTTATGTTTTTGGTATCAAAAGATGCGCAAAGCTCGAGGCTAAAAAGTCATAACAGTCATTTTTTTAGTCATTTTTTTAGAGGCTATCACGGAAAATGTTGAGGGGGGGGCGGATTCCGCCCCCGGCCCCTTTAGGGTTAAACAAAACCATTTTCTACGGGGGCTAAAATTGGCCGAAAATCCATATTCCAGGGTTATGTCTTTCCAAGGACATTGCTCCTCATTGGAGCCTCTCAACCCAGGTTGAACTCAACCCTGGGAGAACCCAGTGCCGCGCGCTCCAGACTGAATTTTGGATATTTCAATCCTGCGTTCAACCCGCATCGTTTGAACACTTGTTTCACGCAAATCAAGCTTATCATGCTCAGTTACTACTGTTTTGAACCCTAGCAAGACTTTCAACATGGGTTGAAAATCTCAACCCTGGTCTGGAGCAGGGTTGAGTTCAACCCGGGGCGAAATCAATCTCAGGGTTGACGCAGGGTTGACGCAGGGTTGAAATTCTTTAAGTGTGAAACGATGCATGTTTTCAACCCTGCGTCGACCCAGAAATTTGTCTATAGTGTGAAAAGGGCTGTAGTATAATACGAAACAAAACAATACCGGAAATTTGGAGTAAGTCCAACCCCTTGTCTTTGTTGAATTAAAACAAATCAGTTATCCTCGGTACATTTAAAGATGAATAGTCTCTATTTTCAATCAACAGTAGGCTATTGTCAACACAAATATTGATATACGGGTCACTCACTTTCTGATGGTTTGTGTTTCAGCGCACTGGTGCTTGGTGGACGAAGATTGCCCCTGGGAACGGTACCACTGTGATATTGAAGGGGGTTGGCCGTTTGGCATGTGCAATCCTGGCCCTCCGCATGAATGAATTGAACAATGGTAAGCCCGCCATTTTGAGCCACCCCGTCTGAAGGGTGCACACCGGTAAATAGGCCAAAACCAATCCGCCGAGCTCATGAATAAAAGTTACACCGGCCCTCAAATTTGTTCTATATTAGAGAATTCTGAGAGCCATAAAGTTGGGAAATTGAAGAGACATGGCAATGAACCTCTGGCCCGGACTTGGGGCTTCCAATTTTGAGCATTTTTTGGATGAATTGGGCTCGAAAGTGGCGCTATTTTGCCATGTTGTGGAGGGATAGTTTTTCAAGATGGCTACTTTTCCGCTTTTGGGAAAATGGGGGTCGTCTTCTTTGGGTGAGAATATCTCGAAAAGTCAATGGTCAACCCACCAAAAACTGGAAAGAAAATGAATGATGACATGTTGGTCATCAGTGTTACAACTGATCATGTAGTAAACAACGGATAATGTATCACCAACCGATAGTGCCACATAAATTGACCGATACTGTATCCGATAATGTAACACAAAATTGACTGATATTGTAGTAAAATATGCTACACTATCAGTCAATTATTGTTGAATGATCGGTCCTAACTAATAATGTAACACAAATTGACTCATAATGTATACATTTACTATACCCGTCATTTGTTTGTTACATTATCGATTAGTGATACAATATCGGTCAATTTGTGTGACATTATTGGTTGTTGACACGTTATCAGTTGGTAACTACATTATCAGTTGCAACAAGTAGTCTTTATTCCCTTGTGGCTCCGGAAAAGGATTTATTGAACTATCCTTCCCATCTTTTCTCATTGTAAACCTTGTGTTGGAAAATTACTTCCTTCACGAGCTTTACATTCGTGCATAGAAAACAAAAATATTTAGAATAACTGGTGTCTAAACGTTTGGTGCCCTGAAAGGTTTCATTCGTTACTGTATTTGATGACAACATGGTATTTTTATATTCCCTTATCTCCATACAGATTGACAGTGTTTATCCAACAGCAAGGCTTCATCTTTAATAAATTTAAAGGGTTAGATTTGGCTTTTTTTATTTCAATTTCTTTTCCTGATAAGACTTCTTTTTTAACAATACTGGTATCGTATAGCAGCCAGTTATTACATTGATGCCTTGACAGTGCTGATCTTGAAAGCTTATCATGATTGCATGGGTGTCGCCAGTATTTTTTTCTTGGGGGGTAAAAGCACACTTTCTCCCTTAAATCCTTGTAGTTTCTCTGGCATATTCTCAATTTATCATTTTTTCGAGGGTGTGTGGGGGACACTTACCAACCCCACCCCTATTGACACCCCTGCATACATGTTGACGTTACATACTTAGTATGGACATTCCTTTCTTTTCGTGCAGCTAAGACAAAACTTGTTAAAAAAACCTCATTTTAATCATACTGTTAAAACTCTTTCAAACCCAATTTGTTTTCTATGATTCCGTTTATAGTTTTTCTCTTCATTTTGCCACGGATAAACCTAGCCTAAAAATGCCTCTAAACCTGTTTTCCAGAGACGGGGAAGCATTGTGTGGACGTGGGCAAGTCCACACAAAGTCGCTGCTACCTGGTTTATGTGGACCTCTTTTGTTCGGAAGTCCACGCAGTGAATGTTATGCTTGTACAGACGCCCATTTTTGTTAAATGTGTTTTGTTAAACTAATAGCAAATATGACTTCACAGCTCTTCTTCCTTTTTTTGGCATTTTTTTCTTCCTTTTTTTCTTTGGGGGGGGGGGGGGCAAGTGCCCGCCTTGCCCCTCCTCCCTTTGCCCAGCGACGCCCACAATTGTGAATTTAAGAGCGACATTGAAATCGAAATGAAATCAAAAACTGTGAGTTATTCGTATAAAAGAGACATAATATTCAACGCATGGCACATCGTTATTTTTAAAAGGACGCATATTATCCAGATCAATTCTTTTCGTTTATTAAAGGGGCACTAGGTCCTGAAATCCCCGATAATTTCATGTTTTGGATTGTTTACTAATCCTATTTCAAACATCAGACCAAACCTCCGTTCTAGATCTAATCCTTTGCGTCTGACTTTCCCACGTACGCACAACAAAGCTGGCCAGTGACAAAACCTTTACGGTCACTGCAGCGAAGGAGTGGAATAGTCTGCCCTTTTCCATTCAAAATGTCACATCTCTCGAGCAATTCAGGAAGCTGATCAAGACCCATTTATTCCACCAATAACCAATTCATTGTCTATGCTACCTGTTTTTATTATTTAACTTAAATATTTATTAACACACCGAAACAGCTCTTGTTTACTTTAGTTGTTCTTTATTTGCCAGCGCTGTGATTTAGTTTGCTAAAAAGAGCGTTCTTAAATGCCGATTATTATTATTATTATTATTATTCCTACAAATGTACCATTAGGGAGACACGTTAGCGTAGAAAATTCGGTAGTAGGGAGACACGGGCTTAATAGGGAGACACCTAGGTGTCCCCCTATTTGCGCAGCCCCCCTTTAGAGACAACATTTTGCAGTCGCAATTGGGTTATATTTGTTGCTCGTGGTCTAATTAGTAAACATACCGAAATTCGTGGAAAAAGGACCAGGGAATATCGGGTTAGGGCACATTTAAATCGGAACATTTTTGTGCACAAGTCTTTGGAAAAGTCTCCCTATTACCTCATTGCCGGTAATCCTTATTATTATTATTAGTATTATTATTATCATGCATTTATCGTATAAGCAGCGCTGGGATAAGGAAACCTTTGCATCCGAGGATTTTGTTTTTGGAAAGGGCAGAACACAATTAAGCCCCTGATAAAGCATTGTGTATTTGAGCCTGATTATTAATGGAGTTTCTCCTCCATATTTATTTAAGGTTAGATCAACGCCCCTGTTCTAAAAGCTGATATACATAACACTGCATTTTGAGAGCGATCGACGAATGTTGCATTCAAGAACATGTAGTAATGCGACAACATAGCAATACCATCATAACACGTGACACTTCGATGTTACGCCCCGTCGATCTCACTAAACTGTAACAACTATAGCTGGGGCCATTGGTTGGAGCGTAACAGCGAAAATAATTATATAATACAGAACGACTGGTTATTGTAATTTTTTCTCGCCCAGGGCGTATTTATTTTGAATACTGTTGGTTTGAAAATGATAATTGACCTCAATTAAGAAACAGAATTTTGGTAGTGTTTTATGTAGACATCGTAATTTCAAACTGTCTTCATTTTTACAAAAGCTCAGATTATTAATCGTCATCATGGAGTTTATCAAGTTTGTGATTGCTGTAAATGAAGATTCAATCTTTAAAAAAATCCTTGAAATCATTGGTTATTAATTGAACGTAGGCTATTTTACATTCCTTTAAGTTTTTCCTCCTCTTTCTTAAACTGACTTTGACTGATATAGCTATGAAGCAAATTAAAGGGACTCTTGCAAAATAATTGATCAGTGCACATGAATTTATTCAAAAACGCCTTTTTTTTTTTAGTAGGGGGGTTCTGATTTGTTTTCTTTCTTCGTCCTCTACTTCTTCTTGTTCCATCCCAAAAATCCCATGTACTTTGTACACGATGTTTGTACCAGTCGCTTTGGGCATTGGCGCATCAGTGGCGCACCCAGAAAGTGGATTGGGGGGGGGGGGACTCACCATTTTTTTTGTAATTTTTTTTAAAGTTTGAATTTCTAATTTTTAACAAATGTTGCCAGAAAATGTTTGGCCGCTATCATTACTTCTTCTTTTTTTTTGGGGGGGGGTGACGGACTATTTTGACGTTAGTGGCGCCATGTATACCCCTTTTGTACTACTTGGAAGTTGGCTGCATTCATATCACCACGGTCAATTTTTTTGAACAACCTCTTGAGCCCCCCCCCCCCCCCCCTCTCTTTGAGTGCTCCACTGTTAGCAGACTGCTTCGACGCTGCGTGCGAAAAACTGTGATCAAGGGAGTATGCTGCCAAATCACACATTGTTAATTTAGTCGATTTGATCATTTTTTTCGTCATTATTGATTGCAATCGTACAACACCAGTTATCCTCTCATATCGTAACGCGGAAATTAATGTTCCATACAAGTGTAGTCGCGAACCACTCTTTCGGTAGTTCAGAGCAGAATTTTATTATGCCCATGCAAATACACAACAAATAAATTAAATTATTTTTTAGGCAAGCATATGCTGAATATAAGCCTCCAACGACGTTATTGATGTATTATATCAATGTGTGATGAGTATATATTATATGCAGCACAAGAAATGCGCAGACTAGTTTTTTTTAGAACAATATCAATGTAATAACTATTCCTGAGGGTAAAACTGGAAAAACAATTCATTGAAATCATTGTCTTAGTGGACAATTTGTCCCGTCATTTATAATATACCTCCCGTGATAATGCAAACAAGCCCAGAAATAGTTACATAAATGAATATATGTAACTTGAGAAACATAAACATTTTACAATAATCGACAAAATTATGTTAATGCTCAGTGGGGGACGCCAAACACAATTATCATGATGACGTCATCGCACGATAGGTATAGCTCTTAGCGTCAAGTTAACATTTGTAAAGCAAATGACATTCATTTCCCGAAATTGTGGTCAGTTCGCCCGTGGACAAATATTATTTGGACATTATTAACAAATTAATTTTGCAAAGTTTTTTAAATGCTGACATCGCCAGACGAAGAGTTAGTAAAGGGAGAATTCGAAACTAAACACCTCAATGTTTCGTGTTTAATTGCAATTAATCATTCAGTGCCTAATAAAAGAATTGTTCACACCAAGATTTTGTGATTTAGGCATTGAAACACTGTGCCGTTATCAATTTTCCAAATAGAACTTTATGGGATCACTTGGCATTCAAATACGAATATTGTCGAGTTTTGTTTGTCTGTTCTACATAAAAGATTGCAATTGTACATTGCCATTTTTCCGCCCATGCTATTAATGCAGAAAATTAATATTTCGAACAGTGTAGCAACGAACAATTATTGTTCGTTACCACAGAGCAGAATTTTATTACGCCCATGCAAAGACTAAAAAAAGCAATAAAACATGTATTTTTAGATGAACATATGTTGCATAAACTCTAAGGGCATTAAAGGCTCCGTCTAACTCCATACTAAAGTCTACTGACACTGACGCTATTTGTTAGGATCCTTGTGAGCACGTGATATGCGCTTAAGCAGTAGATCAAGTCTTCCATATGGACACCAATATTTGCCGAGGCAGCAACAAAGTTCAAACAGAGTTAAACAGCGAATACACACTTTGGGGATCAGCTAAAAACCCGGTCACCATTTTAGAATTGTTCCGGCTTTTCTTTCTCTCTTTTTTTCCGGCGATTATTGGTCGCTATTTAACCTTTCCAGTTGGCAGAGACAACGACGTCCTTGAGAAGATTGAACTTCAGGGTGGCACGGGCAGCTTCCTCAATCATTATGATGTTGTTGCCCTTCTGGTAAACCCAGCACGCGTTGTTGGTTGGATTGGCTGGGTCCAAAACTATTGGACTGCATTCAAGTTGATAAAAAAGGAGAAGCGAAAAACATGACTAGTTTCAAGCACAATGTTAAGGCTATGATTATCGAGATCATTGTGCTCAACATTGGAATGTTTCACTGTATGGAAAACGAGGCAGTTATCGCGCACTGCATCATGGGAAAAGTCGAAATCCATTTGGAGGCAATGCCAAACGGAATGGCTATTCTTTTTGATAACTTGGCAGGAAGGAATCAGCGGTTTTCTAAAGTGAATGGATATTTGAAAACTAAATGTTCTTTTCTTTAAAAGAAAAACCCAAGTCATAACTATGTAACAGTTCCCACTGATATACCCCCCCCCCCATGTCCAGAGTTGTCATCGATCACAAGTCAAATAACAAGCCAGGTCACACGCGATGAACAGTTGCAAATAAAGGACGCCATTGTCACAGTCTATTTGCCAAAGCACAGCTTGTGATTTGACTTGAGACTGGACGACGACGATCGACATCAGATTGCTTGGCATTACCTGAAAAAAAAAACACTGCGCCGTCCAAATTTGCAGGGGTTATGATGTAGGATGCACATCTGCTAAACTTACTTGATATAGCCGAGCTGGGTGATGGCCTGATTCGCCAGTGCGTAGTAAAGGTACGCCCAGTAGTGCCGCAACCCTCTCAAGTTGGTCAGTACCTGCAGCACGTCCTTCAGCCCCTGGGCCTTGCTGATGCTCTGAGGCTTACCAGCGTTCTCCCAGCGGTAGACGGTGATCAACTCCAGCGGGTAGGACTTGTGCAGCGTGTCCGGGAGGCACTCGTTAGCCCAGTACTTCACCAAGCGGATCAGGGCTTTGACGTGGCCGGGTATTCGCTCCATGAACTGCAGCTGGTGTTCGGCCAGTGAGGCAGAGTAGAACTCCCGGTCGTAGCCGTTGGGCAGCTGCAGCATGGCCCTGAACATGTCGGCATGAGCTACACGGAAAAAAAGCGCACCAAAAGTTTCTTTTTAAGGTCTAGTCCAACCAAGGGTTGAATGAGGATTAGATGGAAGGTGACCGTCATTGGCCCTCAATTTTTTTTTTTTTTTAAATTCGGTTACCTGGGGCCCAAAGGGCAGCAGGTCACTCTGCGCAAGGTTTTAAGTTGCAGTAGCCATGAAAAACGTTGTGTTGCATACAGGCGCGGATCCGGGGGGGGGGTGGTGGTTTAAAAAAAAATCTGTCAAAAAACGTGTTTTTTTCATAGAAATTCCTTAAATAATAATGCGACCCAACCCTCCTGGTCTGACACCCCCCACCCAAAAAAAAATTGTACTGGTACGTATAATGTGCGCTTTTAAAAATACGGACAGAGGCAGCTTAGATATGGGTATTTGTACACCATTCCGTAATCTATTGTTAATAATCGTTGCATTTGAACAGCGCCCCCTATTGATATATGGTACCATCCCCCCGCAAAAATTCCTGGATCCGCCCCTGGCAGTTAAGTTTCTACTCTAGGATCTTACAAACCTGGGTTTTTTAAGATTGATTAAAAAACGAAATTGCGACAATTTCGGACTTTTTGGAACACATGAACAGAACGAGAATCACGATGGAATTTTCTAGAATCATTGTCACGAGAGGGCACTATACCAGCTCAGACACGTCCGTTCACAGTGGATAGGTATTTGTTCCGTTGTGAAAAGCATGGGTAATCAAAACCTGTCCACCGTGAGGGCGCTCTTTACAAGCTGTATATTGAACACTCCTGTGTTCGCAAATTATGAGATAGAGCCAGCAATTCGATAACGGCCTGTCACCTTTTGTATTTGGATATCCCACACAGTGGCGTAGCACGGTCATTTTTATTGGGGGAGGGGGTACAATTTTCGAAAAGGGCACTTGCACATCCGTGGTGAAATGTGGACAGGCTTTTTTCCTCCGGACACTTGGCCTCCGTAAAATCAAAAGGGAGGGGGGGGGGGGCTGGTACCATATGTAGATGGGGGCGCTGTTCAAAACCGAAGATTATTCACACAAAGGGTGAATAACAAAGGGAGGTAAACCCGTTGAAAAAAAAGGCATTTGAATGGAAAAAGGCAGTCTTTACAAAATATTGGGGGAGGGGGTAAATACCCCCTTACCCCCCCCCTCCCGCTGGCTACGCCTATGCCACATAATTTGAGAATGTTACTCTCGCATTTTAATATTGTCAAAATGCGTAATTACCTTGTTCACACTCACAACCATAGGACTAAGCCTTATTTAAGAAGTGTTAAAGAGGTGAGCTTATAATGTCCGTGCAATTTTTGAGTTGAACCTCGAAACGAATGGGTACTTAATTTGCGATTATTCAGGCCACAAAAAAAAAAATGCTCTCAGGGCCTTGGCCGCGGCTGGGAAGGGTCTTCTTTGATCTTTGAGTCCACCATCCCTCTGGGTGCACACCGGTAAATAGGCCTACAGGCTCGATTCCCGGAGGGAGAGGGATCGGCATCCCGCCTGTGAATCTTTTTTTTTCTCAAACGACATCCGTTTTCCATCTTCTGATTAAGCTTGCACATCTTTCAAACGCACTTCTTTACTAGAAACAAAATTGCACAGGCCTCAAAAGAAGAACATGTAATCCATTTACCTTCTCATTTCTTTTTTGGTTTGTTTATAATGTTCAAGTATGCAGTAATGAGGTGATGAAGGCTTTGAAAACGCAATCAAGGAACATTGATGACTATTACAGAAACAGAAGACATGAATGAATTCACGGGCACTGATACATTATTGTGCAAGAGTCCCTTTATTTTATCACATGGCTATATCATTCACAGTAAGTTTACGAAAGAGGAAGAATTGAATAATGAAAAAGAAATAAGAAGTAGCCTACGTTCAGTTACTATATAACGAATTATTTCAATGTCCATTTTGAAGGATTGGATCTTTCACAGAAATCGCGATTTAATAGACTGAAGACTAAAATGTTCAATAAAGAAAAGCCGATCCAAGTGGTTATTTTTTTTTAACAATGCATTGCACATGACTGTGTATTTCATTTCACTAAAGTATGTTTCCCATATTAGCAAACGAACAGTACACAATCGGAATACGTCCTAGGAGACAAAAGACACAATCGTGTTAGAACTATATGTCCGTTACGCCTCAGCTTTTGCCAAAAAAAAAAATATATAGTTTGGACCGTCTTAAATGGTCCCAGCCATAGTTGGGACAGATGGGACGATACGATAGTTTGCGCGTAACATGATATGCCTGTTTGTTGTACTGTATAAGGTTACTGTTACTATATATTGTGGAATGCAATTCTCGGATGCAAACATAATATATGTCCGTTAAGCCTCATTGCAATACCCCAAATATAGTTTGGACAGACTTAACTGGTCGGATCCATATAGTTGGGACAGATGGGACGATATGACAGTTTGGGCGTAACATCATATGCCTGCTTGTTTGTTGTACTGTATAATATAATGTTGCTGTTACTATATATTGAGGAATGCAAAAAAAATATATAAACGATCGCTCTCGATTGCTATATATCGCAGATTCTGAATACGGACAAGCCTTACGAAATCAAATTCTCGGATGTAAACCTTGCTATATCCTAGGAAGGAAATTAATGGATATTGTAGTAGTGGATTTTACCAATAATTTGCAAGTCTATGCAAAGGAAACCCCCCAAAAATGATTGGAACACGAGCCAAGTAATGTAAAAATAAGAAGAAAAAAAACATCGTATCAGAAAATAAGACAATCGGATTAAATATATCAAATCTAACCTTTAAGTTTAATCAAAATACAGCCTTGCTGTTAGATAACCACTGTCAATCTGTGGAGATAATCAAAGAAAAACAAAAATACCATGATTTCTTCAAGGAATAAAGATGCATGTCCCTTTTCAGGGCGAGTAAAAAAAAACGAAACCCAAATGACGGGACTACCGTTTTAGTGAGGTTCTGCATGTAGCACTTTCAAACTCTAGCATTTAAAAGCTCAATTCATAAGCCTTCTTTTAGTTGAAGTATCATTCAAATCACTCATGTACTTTTCAAGTTACGGAATTTCAAACACAACCACCGTTTTAAAGTTTTGTCCACGGATCACAAAAAAAGGCGCGCGTTCTTTCAGCAAAACGAAACAATTGACACACATCCCTATGTGATTTGTTTTCGTTTTGCTGGAAGAACACTTACCTTTTTGTCATCCCTGGACAGAACCTTAAACGGTGGTTGTGTTTAAAATTCCGTAACTTGAAAATTACATGAGTGATTTGCATGACTCCTGAACCAAAAGAAAGCTTAGGAATGGGGATTTACTATATAGTATCCTCGAATTTGAAATTGCTACATGCAGAACTTCACTAAGGCCAAAAAAGTCTCCGGTTTCTGGTGTGGAGCTTGCCCCAAAAGTGGTGCGGCGACGCGGTTTTGGTTTTTTTGTTGCTTTTTTTCCCTTTAAATGTCGGCTGATGACAGCAAATGGTGCCCGACTTAATTAAGTGCAAAATGTGTTGGAGCCCAGAGAGGCCACATAAAGCTTATACTCGATCGTAACCCCATCTAGAAACACGTTAAAATAGTGCAGCAGCAGGATTCCTGTCAAACCAGTGAGTTTGGCGGTTTTGAGACATCATCTCACATTAAAAAAAAACACTTTTTGATTTTGCCGACGCGCATGGCTACGGCGACGCGCGCGCATACCAGAAACCGGAGACTCTTTTTGGCCTAAAACAACGGTCCCATCATTTGGGTTTCTTTATTTTTACTCACAATGTACACTAACATTCTATTGTTATACACGAATTTAAAGCCTGTAAAGATATTGGTTTTTCGAAACAAAGCCTACTTTAGAGAAGATGAGGGAAAATTCGGTAAATCGATAGGGATTGGCTTACCATGGTTTTTATTCATTCATGTAGATTGCCAGTGTTTCAGGGGTTCTGGACTTGCATTAGACTGAGCAATATCCCTGGCTTGCACTTTGCCGGGAAACACACCAGGCTTCGGGGTTTTGGCATTCGAAACCATATTGGCAAGGTTCACCTGAATCAAGAAAGACATGTTCCAAGAATAAAAAAGGCAATAAGAACAAACAAGCCTCTTGTTTTCATTTCTTGTTTTTGAATCATTAGATTCACTTTGATTTATTTTCAGAGTTGTCTTGATTGTCTTCCGAGAAGAAGAAGGCAATAAGAACAAACCAACCTCTTGTTTTCATTTCTTGTTTTGGAATTATTAGATTCACTTTGTTTTATTTTTAGAGTTGTCTTGATTATCTTCCGATTCGAAAAAGGGTTTAAAGCATTTATAATAAAACGAAAAAAAAATCATAAAATCGATTTCATTAAAGGCAAATGCAGAGATACACGGCTGGTGCAATGGAGAATTGAATGAGCAATTTTGATGAATTGAAATTATAGAATGAATTCTAGACTGCAACAATCGATGTAGACAATTTCAAACTCTTATATGGTTTGATGATTGTCCGATATTTGATTGAAAGCAGATGATGAAAATTCAAGAGATGGGTGAAAATATCCTCTTGAATGCATTTCAAAGAAAATAGATCAACTAAAAGCGAAATACTGTCAGCACAAAAACGAAACTGAATGCGTTATTATCAGGAAACCCTTTTGATTTAGGTAGGAAAAACTGCTTGATGTGAAATGTTGTGTGTGAAAATGCCTAAAACGTCCCATGAAGTTTGCAAGAAACACAATCAACTGAAACTCTTCACTGCAACGTCCCTCTGTTCCAAACCTTGTTCTATGTAGTAGGCCTACTACGTCAAAATGTCAACCTGTATATCCCAATAATAAAATGTAGTATGTATCATTGCTAATACCACTGAACTTACCCGCCCTCTCCACCATCTCTTGAGCTTCGCCTTCGGTAAGGACTCTTTTCACAAAGAGCGCTGAAGAGATTCTGCATGACATAAAACAACATTTTTACTGGTGAATTCACGTAGTACACTTAAAGATAACAACAATACAATCTTCATATAGATATAGAAAATTGGAACATTTTGGGGATAAATTCCACAACAGCCAAAAGTGATTGTCTTCCTTAAAGACAGTGTGTAAGCAACTGGTCGTTATAAATCAAATTAGATGGCATCATAGTACATTCAGCAAGGACATTTGAGAAATACGTTGACAGTGGGTGTTCTTTTCTCTTCGATGAAAAGTAATAATTATCCAATCGAGTTACAATAATATATTTTTGTTCCAGCATGACATTATAGACCCACGGGGCTGCGCGAATGTGGCTTTAAGAATACTTGCAAATATCGTGGGACCGTCGGGATTATGACAAAACTATTGAACCAACTAACTTACCGTCTCTTGGTGCGAAACTTAAAGCACCTCCGACGACCATCAGGAGAACCAGGCACATGTAAACCTTCATTCTTGCTAATTTGAAAAACGAGGGAGAAAAAGACAGAGAGTAAGAAATTGGCAATGATATGGTTGTTTCGTCATGTTAGACGTACATCAGTTATGAAGTTTGCTTTATAGACGCCGCGGTAAAAGTAACCTACCGCGTATATCATTGTCGTTTTATAAATGTATTGTCAACGTATATCAGTGACAGCTTATCGTTAATCATGAGCAAATTTAATAACAGGACGCTTTTCTTTCTTAGCAACTGACTATCAAATCTGGCTACGTTTATCCAAAGCTTACATTTCAGATTCAAACGGACTTGAAAACCAAAGCAAAGTCAGAATCGGAAATGCACTTGCAGCTTTCAACTTGATGTCTACTGAACGAACGCGCTACAACAGCACCGAGTACACGTCTTTGTAGTAGCTTGGTTCAAGCGTCAGCGAGCAGTAATCTATTGCCAGTTTTGTTGAAACACATCTGACTGCATTGGCAATAATAAAAAAAAACACCCCCCCCCCCAAAAAAAAAAAAAAAAAAAAATGCGTGAAACTATACTAGATGTTCGCCCGTGGAGCATTACTCGTAAGTTGTAATCAATTCACGCATGCGCATAGGTGATTATCAGTGACAAGAAGTAAAGCTCAATAGTAATACCGAACGAACATGTCTGCGGCTCACAAAAAACGAGCTAGGTACATGTTTATGTTATCTATTTGTGTGGTTATGTCACCAAACCTACATGGGCCTACATCATAACATTTTGGTATGAAATGTACTTTGGCCATGGTGCGCCTGATGAAATAACCACACAAACGGTGATTTAACAAGCAACGTTTTTCCGAGCCGCGTACGTATCCCGTATATTCGCACCATTTCTTAACGATAGCCATTTTGTTTCAAAACGAGAATAAAACTATTAACGGGACATTACGGCCTGAAATCCCCGAAAAGTTCGTGTTTTGGATGTTTACTTATTCTATTTTAAAGGCCTGGTTGAAAGGAAACAAACTTAATGTCTCACCGTTCCCGAGAAAAGACAAAAAAAGGTTGTTTACATCGGACGCGACGGACATTTTGTGCCAAACTCACACGTATTTCAAGTCGTGTCTATTAACAATGCAGCGTACACGTAGCGCGTGCGGTACATAATACAAAAGTTTAACAATGTTGTTTCCTAAACGTCCGCAGAATGCGAACCACTGTGCGGCTGGATAACAACTAGCACTAGCTTGATTTTTCGGGGACCCCGAAATTCGTTCTTGCATGGGTCTCGCACGAATAACACAAAAATGCCCAGTTTTTAACTAGGATGGTTGTGTGGACATTTATATTCTACTTTAAATGCTCTTTCTATTTAATATCGTTTCGCTTAAAACGCGTTTAGTAGCCCACTTGGGCGCATTCATGGCCTTAATGTCCCTTTAAGAGTGCGAGATAGGTCACCCTCTACGATGAGACGATGATAGGTCGTCCTCTGGGTCAATCGGAACGTTCATACAGAACGAACCCCCGATGATTAACCTGCTCTTCACTCAAAGGACCCATATTTTGGGGGGTAAAGGGTCCATGCAATGTAATTTTGTTTAATGCAATCGTTAGAAATACATCTTTGTGTCCCATTTTACCCCATCTTTAATTTTCGATTTGCCATTTTCAAGAGTACTTGGCGCCTTTTTGGTTTTTATGCTAATGCCAATTTACATATTTATTAGTAGAATTGTGATGTCATTCCAGGCAGAAATAATGTAACAGCAGTTTGAACACCAAAAGTTGTTAGAAAAATGGATGTTTCGCTGCACAACTCGTAGCCTACAAATCTAAAACGGTGACCGGGTTTTTATCTCCCCAAAAAAGTGTGATCGCTGTTTTTTACTGGTTTGAACTTTGTTGCTGCCTCGGCTAATAGGTTTCTATATGGAGACAATGATCTACCTTTTAAGCGCATACTGGTGCTCACATGGATATTTACTGAAAAATAGAGACAGTGTTAGCAGAGTCTAGTATGGAGTTTGACGGTGCCTCTAATGCCCTTGGAATTTATGCAACATAATTATGTTTATCTAAAAATACATGTTTTATTCCTTTTTTCTCAGTCTTTGCATGAGAGTAATAACATTCTGCTCGGAGGTAATATGAAAACGGTTCATTGTGTCTCTGTACAAAATATTAATTTGCTGCATTAACATGAGGAGATGCTGGTAATGTGCAATTGCAATCGGTTACGGCGAACCACAAAAATGCACTTAACAATGGAGTACAATATTTTGTTCTGAATATTACGTGTGATTAAAAGTAGCCTTCTATGGGTGATCCCATGAAAATTTGGGAAAATAGAACACTATCTGGATCACAGTTTTACTGTTTCTCGCGTCACAGCAGTCTGTGTTCGTTTTGGGAGGCCTCACCCACAAATTCTGCTTATTTTCTAGATTTATTTGATTACTTAAACAAAATCAAATGAATATCTCTCAATTTGAGTATTTCATCAGTTGACCAACAGCAAATTTTTCGTTTGATTATAAGAATCAAACAAAAGTTTTAAGTTGAACTTATATATTTAATTAAAAACTAGCTTCCGGTTGATCATATTTAGATACCTACATCACCAAATTGTGATTATATTATAAGTTATCCCGCGAGTGCGAGTGGAACACGAAATCTTGTAGTGCGTCTGTATCCCACATACCACGAGGCCGAATGCCGAGTGGTATGTGGGACACAGACGCACTACATTTTCCGTGTTGCACGTGCGCGTGCGCGATGCTGAAGTTATCTTCAAGCAAACTTGACGCACATTAAAGTTGGAACTAGCTCGCTTTACATTAATCTTTAAGTGGTTTAGCGCATCCACCTGGAATGTCACTCGCATCTTAGAATAGAGCAAGACGCAGGGTGCAATATGGACCGTGCGATACATTATAATATCACACTGTTGTTGCCATGGATCGACCAATCAGGATCGAGGATATAAGTTTGCTTGAAGACAAAAGCAATTGTTCTGCAAGGCATTGAATATAGATTTCTATCAAACAAGTAAAAGATGATCAGTTTCAAATTCTCCCTAAACTAACTCTGCATCTGATGATGTCATCATCTATACACACCTTGCGGATTATATTTTGTTACTGTCCAAAGTATGTCTGTGGGTAAACCGACCGAAAATCTGAAAAAAATGGTTGTCCTTTTCTTTTTTTAATTTTTAATTTCTACGTGACGCTAAGAGCTGCCACTCGAGTGATAGTGTAATCATGAACTTTGTGTTAAGCTTCATCCACTGATCATTTGAATAATAATATTTTGATTATAGTAAGATATTTCTATTTTTTCCAAGTTATATTAATTTATTATTGTACTCCTCGATAAAAGTACGTAAAATATTGTTGTTCTCGTCAGGATGACGACAGACTTTTTGCAGCATCGGGAGGTATGTTATAAATAACAGGGTGAATTTTCCACTGACAAATCCTTACTGAAAATGATTTCAATGATTTGTTTTTTTTCCAGCTTTATTCTCATGAATATTAATTACCTAGATATCCTGCTTCCACAGAAAAGCAGTCAACGTATTTACTGCGCTGCACTTGCAGCCACTCAGTAGATATCAATGTCGACATCAATAGCGTCGTTTATGCAACATGTGCTTATCTAAAAATATTTTATTTTATTGGTTTTTCTGTTTTGCATGGTATAATAAAATTCTGCTCTGAGCTAAGGAAAGATTGGTTCGTGGCTACGTTTACTTTTCTGCATTACAATATGGTGAGGTAGACTACTGTGATCAATTATGTCGGGAAAAATCATCAAATGGGATGGAATATTTGTATTCAATGCTACATGTGCTTTTATTTTAATTTTTTTACAGGGGGCTTGCCCGCAACCCTCTGGCGGGGTCTGCCGTTCACTCAACCCCCTCCCGATTCCTGAACGCTAGGTCCGCCCATCTTCCAAATTGATGCCATAATGATTTCCTTAATATAAAGTTAAGGTACCGGTAGCACTCTGTGTCGGACAGTGTAGGCCTTTACTCTCCGAAACGTTAAACTTTCACCGGTTCTTTCGGAACCTCACAAACTCAAAAAGAAATTTATGACATGGTGCTACTTTAACTTTATGTTGTTGCTAACTTCATCGTGCAATCCTTCAATTTTTTATGGACAGTTCTTTTTGGGAAGAAAATAGAATGCCCATTGAACATAGTTTCACCAACTAATAACGCCTAATAACGCCTCCTCCACAATTCTGCTTCGTTTCTATAGACATCTGATTAATTAAATCAAATGAAATTCAAATGACTGAATAAGATTTGAAATGTTGCATGGTGGTAGTGTATATACTAGCGAGGTTTGCGGCAAAATGTGGAATAATCTCTTTTAAGAACCGGTTGGTTGTCAAATTAAAAAAGAGATGAGTTAAGGAATTTATCATCTGCGTACGTAATTGGTCAAACAATTTGTCTGCATATTTTGGCGGGCTCGCTCTGTAATTAGTCGGGTTGTCGAAAGTTAGTCATTGAATTTGTCACGTCAAAAATACTTCGTCAATGCATCCGACTCGACTATGCAGATTTTTCATCTGACGTTCGGTAGATTAATCCGTTATTGAAATTAGTCTTTCATTGCATATAATTTGTCCGGCAATTAATATGATTCAAATTGCATGGACTTAGATTTGTCATGACCCTAAAATGAATCGTCATCTGACTTAACACTAGCATTACTCATTCTTTTCCCGGTATTTGACGACTTGTTCACAGCGATTGACTAAACAAAGTTTTCAGTGTAGAAAAAAAAAAGACGGGGGAGATTTGGGATTTAAATGGAGCGGAAATTCAATTTACATCCGGTGGGGGCGCCCTACACCTGGTAACGGTGCATACAGAGGACCTATTTTCAGGTCTAATATCGAACTCAGAAAATTTGTTCTTTAAATATTTTGATGTAATAGGATTTATGGATCTGTACTGTTTGCCTTAAAAGTAGTTTGGGGAAAAATAACAACATTTCGGGTGTGTTAAAGGGT